TCCCAATAATTGTCAACCTTCTGCTATCTTCTCTTTGAGACCCCAGACATTCTAGTCCCCAATCCTTTGCTACTACCTCCTTCTATCCACTCGCCCCAAATGTTTTTCATTGCCACAGCTGGGTCGTCCCCCTGCAGGCTTTCTTCTGCCTGCCCAGCTGATGATGTTTTCCTGGCTCCAGAAAACTTCCGATTGTTACAAACAGTGCTTGCGGGGACAAAGGATTGTCCCGATTAAAACAATAACAACAAAACTAGGACGGTCTTGCAAGAATCCGGATGGGTGGCCAGCCCACATGAACACTATGTGATGTCTCTCTCTTTTTTTTTCTCCCCATCATTAAACAGGAACAAGGTCATTATTTTGAAAACTCAGGAGTTACACTAAGGTTTTAGTTGTGACCAAAGTTTTGTTCAGTAGCTGGTGCTGCTGAGATCCCTAAAACACTTTTTTTCTGTGTCATTATTCTTAGGGGTCTGATTCCGTCATCGTCACTTCTGTATGTTTAAGGGGATGGGCAGCCCTGAAAAATTAGAATAAATTTCACCCCGAATCTTAATCTCAAATTAGCAGGTCTTTTTCTCCCTGCAGTTTTGAGAATAATCAAAAAAAAAGGGGGGGGGGCTCAATTAGTTCAAATAAGATCGAGTTACATTTCATTTTATTTCCTTCTTTAGAATATTATTTAATTATCACTAATTGCATGATGGGCCTTTACTTGTAATTCTGATTACATTGAGTTTAAGGGGACACAAATCTGTTGTCGAGAAATAAAACGGGAAAATGTTGTTTACGGTGTTTCCCATGTTGCCTGCCGTACTCTCTCTCTCTACGCCACAGCTGCACCAGGACGTGTTGTTGGTATTTGCAGGCTTCTAGAGAGAGAAGTGGCCAAGTTTACTTTTCTCATCTCCGAATTTGGCGCACAGGTCAGCACTGAAAACCCCTTATCTATGTGTGGTTCAGACTGTCACGAGATCATTCTCTTCATCACCATACCTTGTAGGGAGGCCAGAAAGCCAGGGCAGGACCCTGAATCCCCAAGTTCTCTGCTTCTGAGCACATAGTACTTATCCGCAGAAGTTACTTGTGCTCTCTTTATTTCATTGCTAGAATTTTAAATAACGATTCAGCATTAGCACAGAGGAACAGATAGGAAAAAAAAATCCTTTATACAAAAAAGAAATGCTTATGTTTGGTGGACTTTATTTTTAAGCTGTGTCCAATGCATTCACTCTTTTTTTAGTTCATGTCTAACTAGTGTTGCTATTTACAGAAATCATTCTATTTTTAGCCTAGAAAAGGGGTTGGGCAAAACTTCTTTGTTTTTTTGGCCTGATCATGGACAGCTCTTATATATTCTTAATTCATGGCCCATCATCTGCTATTATTAGGTGTCTCAAATGAACCCATGTCCTGATTGTGACTGAGGCTAAGTCATGAATGATTTTTGCGTCAAGGCAAGTATTCCTGGATGCTCATGCTGCCCAATGTCACCTTTCCTCAGACTGTTCATCTAGACAAGTCAATGAAAAACCATGCAAATTCACTATTAATAATTTCCATAGCAAGTAAAAAAATTGGTCTTCTTATTAATTTATACAAATAAGTAATAGGGAAGCATATTATTGCTTTTGTTAAATGAAAAGTTAGACTAAGATACTCAAATTCATTTTTGTATGCCATAAAACCATCATCAGATGGGAAAAGTAATAGGCTTTTGAGGCTGAAGTAAGCAGAAAATAAAAATTTTTCTATGGGAAAGTTTCTGAATGGCACTTTTATTAATGTATATAATTCCCTTCAGTGGCCTATTAATGCCACAGTCATCACTACTTCAGAATCATCCATAACTACTTTAACCATGTACTTCCCTCTCGCTTCTCTCTTTCTCTCTCCCTCCTTCCCATTCTACCTCCCTTCCTCTCTTGCCTGCTATGATAACATTTCCAGACATTTTAAGGGGGAAATGGAAGAAACTAGCAAGCTGCAGAGAACTTATCCTTGAGACAAAAATGTCTTATTTAAAGCTCTTTATTAAAAAATAATGTATTAGGCTGAAAATATGAGAACTGCTATTAATGGTTTAGATCCATATTTTCCCATGTTCTGTGTTTTGTTGCTAATGGTTATGCCAAAGGAAGCTATATGGCTGAGTAGATCTGGTTTGGGAGACAATGATTTCAGAAGGTGAAGCACTCTCCCGTCTTCTTTGCTTTCCCAAAGACCTGCTTCAATCAATTTGTCTTATCATTTACTTTATTCATATTTGAAGGCTGTTTATTGGAGCAGGGAGTTTCATAAGCATACTAGAAGCCATATAATATAAACTCGCATTTTGATTATTAAAATTTTATTTCAATGGTCAAAGAATTGCTCTCAATATTATGTCCTGGGATTGCATTTCAAGTGCAAGATCAAATTAACAATAATCTTTTATCACATAAAATTCTGCATTTTTTCTGCCTGTGTCATTTCTATTTAAATTGGCTTTAAGTAAAACTACAAAAATAGCATACTAACACTGTATTTCCTCTAACATATTTTATCTCTTAGACCAACTGAGCTTTCCTCTGAAAAACTTGTGAGAATTTTACCGTGATCCCATTCAAACAGAGGACTACTATACATATTACTTTTTGCAATATCATCTGCATTGCATATTTTCTTTTAAAAAATTTTTTATTTATTTATTTTAGAAAGAGAGAGAGAGAGTGGGGGGAGGGGCAGAGGAAGAGGGAGGGGCAGAGAATCTAAAGCAGACTCCATGCTGAGTGTGGAACAAATAGTGGGGCTCGATCTCTTGACCCTAAGATCATGACCTGAGCCGAAACTGAGAGTCGGATGCTCAACCAACTGAGACATCCAGGTGTGCCATGCATCAAATATTTTCCATTTCAAGCATTTGTGGGAAATTCCATTTCCCACAAACTGAGAATGGGAAGTTAATGATGTATCTTCTACAATTTTCTGCAAAATGAACTGCTATTTTTAGCAAACAACTTGTTTGCTACCTTATAGACTATTGTTTTTATTTTATTTTTTTAGGAATGGAATTAAGTATTATTCTGTATTCAGAATCTCTTGAAGATTTGTTGTTTGTGTTGCAAATTGCTCATGATGTTTTAGGTAACACATGAGTATTTCCATTGAAAGAGCATGACCTATTTTTAAGGAAGCAAAAAAGAAAAAACTTGTAAGACATCAAATGTTTCTTGCAAAACAATTTGATGAAATAAATGTAAATGAATCAGAAACATGTGAATTGTATTTCACTTAAAATTAATGGGTTTAACTGTGGAGGGAGTAAAGTGCTTGGGGGAAAGAGTGTGGCAAGGCGGGAAGTGACATTTGTTTTGTTTTCATCAGTCTTGGAATCTTGAAAAATGGACTAATATTCTGAATTTAACCTCATTCAGATTCTCCATTAAGCCTAATGATGGAGATCCAGAAAGGGACAATAATATGAAAATTCATTTTATAGCTTTATTTGGCTACAATTATAATGTAGGCATCAAACATGACCACCATATAATCCTTCAAAAGCACTCGCAACTTGAAATTTGTGATTTTCCTCTTGTAATCAAGCTGAAAGTGTTTTCTCCCGTAGAATATGTAGTCTTCAACCTTACATATCAGCTTCACATTTATTTCCTCTGTTAAGCTGAAGAGGATCTGATGGAAACAAAAAAACGTGGGGACACTGAATGTAGCCACACATAGCAGAAGGGTGGGAGGCAGGAGGAAGAGAATGTAAGAGAGGGAGAAAAAAAGGGAAAAGAAATAGACCATGCATGCAGACCTAGGTCACCAGACCTCATTTCATAAGCAAAGCACTCAAATCCCACTAATTATTTGAGAGTCGCAAGAACTTTAGCCCATAGGTTTGCATTCATACCATTTATGCAGGCTTAAAAACAACTACATAGCTTCTTTTTACTTTTTTTATTTTTCAATTAAAAAAAATCCATTACTCTGAAAACAGGAAAGAACTACAAAAAGAAAAGAAAAACAACTTATAAATAAGTCTCCCTGTCAACATGCTTCAAAACATGAGGAAGTTTGATGTGTGGCATGGCAGTTCAATTTCTCAACTCCATCTCTGCAGACGGGGACATTTTGAGTGTCCCGAACACTTCCAAGAGGCAAGGAGTACATAAGTGGAGCATGTATTTTTATTTTGGGAGATCATCTAGGGTACTGTTTAAGTAGCCTCACACGGTGAGAAATGGAGACACTAGGTCCTTTCTGTATAAATTGAAGGCGCTATAGGCCATAGGGCTCTTTTTGTATATAAAGAGCCTTCCTTTTCATTTCCTGAGAGCACAATGCCATTGGAGTTGAGCATTTCCCTTACCACTCAGAACCCCACTACTGCTCACCTCTTGCATTTGGAATAAGGATCCTGCTCCTTGATTTCTTTGTGCCAAATAGCTTGTTACCTCACACTGTTCTAGAAGTGGTTCTCTTCCATGATCCTCATGGACAGAATTTGTGGAGAGTCGCTCTTAATGTAATTGTTCCCTAATGAGGCAGGAGATGTGTTTTAGCTTCTAGCACAGTCCTTTGTTGTTTTATTTAAACTTCTTCTTATCCAGTTTAGTAGAATAAAAACGGAATAGTGAAGCTGTTTCACTTACACCATAAATCAGTGTCATTATTACAATTACAACTATTTCTGAGCCCCCAAAGTTACTCTTAAAGGCTCTACGGATTCACACAAAATATAAATTCCAGCTCCAAAGCTGTGTCTTCAAAAATACTGGAATAGCATCAACTCTATCTTTGTCCCCACCAACAATCAATATTTATAGGGTCCTCGATGAAGGAAATGTCTCTATGTAGGATCCATGCTCAGACATGATTTCAATGGCACATTTCCTTTGACGAGAAACCTACTGTGATGTATTTCCCACCATGATTTCCCACACTGACTTTTCATAAGTGTGACGGAATCTAATCTACTTTGTGTTTGGTGTTGTTGTTGCACTTTCTGACAGGCCTACCCTTGTAGCAGTGATAAGGAATGTGAAATTGGGAGATATTGCCACAGTCCCCACCAAGGATCCTCGGCCTGCATGGTGTGTCGAAGGAAAAAGAAGCGCTGCCATAGAGATGGCATGTGTTGTCCCGGGACCCGCTGCAATAATGGTAAAGATCTAGTTCAGTGTCAATCGGCCTCTTTCTTTTTATGTAGGAAGCATGTCTAGCTAATTCAACTACTTTCTCCTTAACCAGACCCCTGAAATGCAATGAGCCTTTCCAAACTGGCAGGGATTGGATCATGGTTTAGATAGGTGTATGGTTACTTGGGTTACCTCCCCAATTCTAGTTTTCCTGGGCTCTGATTTCTATTTCTACATTTTATATTCTATGGCGATCTAGGATTTGCCATGCTGAAGTGTTTTATGTGAGTATCTATAAACACAAAAGTGAATACATGCGAGAAGAGCAAAGAACCTGCTGTGATTTAGCAATATGGTGGTGAGTCCTTCCAGGTCCATACCTTGACTCTTATATTCAGGGTGTCTTCTTTTAAAGGCCCCACCCTGCACCACACTCATAGTGAAGGAGTGAGTGGTTCCTCCAAACAGAGACGCAGGAGTCTGTTCCTCAGCCTTTCCATAAGCATGATTTCACCCAATCTCAATGAATTTATAGGGAGACAATTCAGCAATAATGGTGAAATGACATCATCATTTCATCAATGACTCAAGGACAACACAGGATAAAACCATTAAAAAATTACAGAAGGTGATCAGAAACATAAACGTAGTCATATAAACCAAGATAATCAGACCTCTAGCTGTATACATGCTCCTGACCTCTGGGCAGAGTCCTAATGAAAGTACCTGGGACAGGTGAAAGGAAGACGACCTCATGCCATTAGAGATGTTTATAATGTAGTATAAGGTTATATTTTTGATGAACAAAGGAAACTGGATCCTGAAGATGGATATCTGGTCAGACATTTTAAAAGTACAAATAGCTAATATTAATTTAATACTAAGTTATTATTTTAAATACTTCACATGTATTCACAACTTAATGAAGTGTTTTTATTCCTATTTTCGCCCACAGTCACTTGGTCTTGAGAGAGACAAGATTCAAATTAAGGAAGCCTGACTTAGGTTCAGTGATTTAATTCTATTTCATATTATGTAATATGATTCAATATTATTTATGTAAATAAGAGAATAGCTGAATGAATAGAGGATAGATAGATGATAGGTAAATAGATAGATAAATAGATAAGAGATAGTGTCATACCTCACATCAGCACAATGGCTGGATAAGCATCGGACTTTATAGAATTGAATCAGTCTAACTACTTATTCATTATCTCCAGGCATCTGCATCCCTGTCACTGAGAGCATCTTAACCCCTCACATCCCAGCTCTGGATGGCTCCCGACATAGAGATCGAAACCATGGTCATTACTCAAACCACGACTTGGGATGGCAAAATCTAGGAAGACCACACACTAAGATGTCACACATAAAAGGTAGGAAATCTGTAACTCTATGCTTACTTTTTCTTGTTTGGAGGGAAGTAGAATTAAAATATTGATAATTCATTACATTGGTTTTAGAAAAAAAACAAGGAAGTTACTTTGTTGGCAAGATTTTAACTGAATTTATTAATTATTTATTATTAGGATGGTGGAGGTTTCTAAGAGCTGTTAAATTGTTAGGAATATATATTATGAAAACTGCAGCACCCCTGATCAATCATGCCATTTTCTAAACAGTCCTCCCTTTAAATGTTTGCAGTCATATGATTACATCCCTAAGCTTTTGAATCTTTTTCTCACCTTTACAGAAATTTTATTTCACTAAACAACCACGTAATACACTATTTATAGACCAACTTATCAAAAATAATTGGTTTCTAGTAAAATTATATGGTCATAAAATCCCCTTACTTGCATCAAAATATTTGGAAGCCTAATCACTAACAGTAAAATTTGAAAGCATGTAATTATAGAACTTTACTACTAATAGTAAAACATTGAAGGCATGAAATACATCTATCTTTAAAGGAGGCTTCTTTCAAGTGTAATCTGTAGAACATCACTCCTTTAAGACATTCTGCGAATAAAAGTGTGCTGTGTTCAAGAGTTTTGTAATAACACATCTCCCAGTTTGGGAACTTTATATAATTGGTATATTGAGGGCTCTGAGAAGCCCAGCAATGAGGAAAACTGGATGAGGTTTTTAAACACTGTGTGTCCCCATATTTCTTTCTTTTTCTTTTTTTTTTTTTTAAGATTTTATTTATTTATTTGACAGAGATTACAAGTAGGCAGAGAGGCAGGTGGGCACGGGGGATGGGGCAGAAGCAGGCTTCCTGCTGAGCAGAGAGCCCGATGTGGGACTCGATCCCAGGACCCTGGGATCATAACCTAAGCTGAAGGCAGAGGCTTAACCGACTGAGCCACCCAGGTGCCCTGTGCCCATATTTCTTGACCACAGAAACATTTCCCCACATTTTTATGTTCTGCAGAGCAGGTGTCCTGTAGAATACCTGACCTATTAGTCAGATCTGGAATAGTAATGCTGACATGGATAGTGCTAAAAAAGATTGACAGCTCCTCTGCAATTATCCCTTGTCTATGCTCCCTGAAGACCTATGTCTTTACCCAGTCTCCTATTTCTTTTCTTTTTTTTTTTTTAAAGATTTTATTTATTTATCTGACACACAAAGATCACAAGTAGGCAGAGATGCAGGCAGAGAGAGAGGAGGAAGCAGGCTCCCTGCTGAGCAGAGAGCCCGATGCGGGGCTCGATCCCAGGACCCTGGGATCATGACCTGAGCCGAAGGCAGAGGCTTTAACCCACTGAGCCACTCAGGCGCCCCTCAGTGTCCTATTTCTATTCCACCAAATTCACATGCATTTGTCATTACACGAGTATCCTTCCTTATTCCAATAGATGGCTATGTCACAGTACAGTTTCAAATTTACTAATAATTTTATATAGTTTTATGTGTAATTTTCTGATGGCAACTAGGAAGAACTCTTGTGACAATGGCTAGTGGGTCGTGTCCATTTCCCACAGTGGGACTGGTTCCTTCTGGGATGACAGATAATCCTTTAGGCCAGGATTGACACATTATGGCCTGTGAGCCAAGTCTGTCCTACAGCTTGTTTTCGTAAAACAATGTTTTGCTGGAATATAAACTTGCCGATTCATGTAGGCATTACTTATGTCTGCTTTTGTGACAGCAGAATTGAGAAGTGACAGATCATATGGCCTAAAAAGCCTAAATATATACAATCTGGCAAAAATATAGGAAGTTTATTGATCCCTTCTTTATATAGGTGACACATCTACCCAGCTGTGATGTGTGTTTGCTCTTTGCTGACTTGGCCATTTATTCTGAATTAAATATCCAGATTTGTTCTTCCACATGTTTAAATGATGGGTTCTTGGTTGACTCTGGAGCTGTCTGCCCTTTCTCTACTCTGCTCTGACTCACAACTCTTTAGAGACTGAATGGTACTAGACTCCCTGTCCGGAGGGCCTTTGGGATTCCAGTCCCAGCTAGTGATTCCTGGCCCCAGATGCTGACATGATCTTTACCTTTGGATCCTCCAGTCTGAATGTGGTAGTGGCTTCCTGCTCTGTTGCTTTACCATCCTCTGATCCTTCTTAGCCCTGCAACCACCTGCATGCCTACTTCTCTGCATTAAACATCTTCTACCTTAAGTTTCTGTTCTCCTGGCTAGACACTGATGCAGGGTTTTAGGTGTCCCTGAGATTTTCAGCATTCTCCTTGAAACACAGTTTATTTACACCTTCCAAGAAGGTATCATATTAATTTCTTTGAAAGTAGTTCTCTTTATTTATTTTTCACTCACCTCATAAACAAAAATGATCAGAGAAATATCTAAGAGCAGACCATGCCAAAGTAAAGAGAAGATGAAGCACAGTCCTAGCTCTTCATGAAACTTGATATTCAGACTGCAACTAATCAAAATAGACAATAATGGATTGACATGATTAGAGGGAGAGTCAAGTGATAGGAATTCAAGACTTTCCATCATAAATGATAACTTCATGGAAGACAGTACAAGTAAAAGTATTGTATGTACCTCTGAATGCAAAGTGGGATTTTTTCCTATTGTCATAATAATATCTTTTGGTCACCATCTCTGCAGGGCATGAAGGAGACCCCTGCCTACGATCATCAGACTGCATCGAAGGGTTTTGCTGCGCTCGCCACTTCTGGACCAAAATCTGCAAACCAGTGCTCCATCAGGGGGAAGTCTGTACCAAACAGCGCAAGAAGGGCTCTCATGGGCTGGAAATTTTTCAGCGGTGTGACTGTGCAAAGGGCCTGTCTTGTAAAGTATGGAAAGATGCCACCTATTCTTCCAAAGCCAGACTCCACGTGTGTCAGAAAATATGATCACCTCTGAGGAAAATCATCCCTAGCAGACTGTGAATCTGTGTATTTAATGCATTATAGCATGGTGAAAAATAGGATTTGGATCTCAGAAGAATGGCTCAAATAAGGAAAGTGATAAGAATATAGAGATCACAGAGAGAGAAAAAAGAAAAGAGAATAAGCAGATTAGAAAGGGGTAACAAATGTAGTACAACTGATGCATTTCCATGATTCAACTTGTTCATGTAAATAATGTGCACGTTTGTGAAAATGCTATTACTGAAAAAAAAAAAAGCACACAGTGAAAATTACTGACGAATACCATATGACTTTCCAAGAGTTTAGGTTGTGCTGGAGAATCAGTTTCCTTCAGATTGGTGATTGCCTATAGAAATAACCTAAAAGCCATATTTCTAATTCAAAGTTATAGTTTAACAAAATAGTCCCTTGGCATACAATAGGCTCTAACATAAAAAGCATTGTTAAATAGGAAATGAAAGCATGGAACATAGATAATTTGCAACACAGAATCACCTTTTGGTTTGGAATGCTACTTCTATGGCTCAATGAAAGGCCTTGGTAGACAAGAAAAAAAGCAGTCAGTATTTTCCAAATAATCTCAAAATAATTGCAAGGCTTTTTTGAATGCCTTTAGGAAAAACCAAACTTATTTTACTTTCAACTGTTTATTTACATTTTTCAAAAGTTGATTTTCACTAGTAATTCCCAAGAACCAGTATAAGACAAAACAGTCCATTCACATTCTAAAGGAATGGCATTTTACATTTTCTTGATTGTATGTGATTCCGACCTTGAGTATATTTTATTTTCCAAAGTATCCCAATTAATTGTGAATAGTAAAGAGTGGAATTTCACAGATTGCAAAAAAATTTAAGATGTCCAAGATACAGAATCAACACTAACAGATTGTTATTTTTTGAAGCTTTGGCATTCCGTGTGTTTGATAGAATTAGATTGGTAAACCCATTTATTCTTTACATATGTAGCAGCACAGTCAGGAAAAGCTGAAAACAGAAACTGATCTACATTTGTGCTGCACTGAGGGACACAAAAGAAATGGACAAAACTTTGTCAAGTGCCCAGGTTTTGGCAACATGTCAATCATGTATCTGAAGCACAAACTGACTATTCATATTGGAATCCCAAGGCTGCACAACCTAAATGGAAGTTTTCCATGGGATGTGCTACCACAATATTTACTATGCAGATGAGTTCTGTGTAGGTCACTAGTTGACCTCAAAATATTTATTTTATATTTTTTGAGGTCCTAAAATAGTATGAGGAAGTCTCATAAGATAGACTCCCAGGGCAGGTAGTATCTTAAGGTTCTATTGTCCTCCATCAACTTCTAACTTGCCAATGGCACCATCTGAAATTTCTGTACCAATCTCTCTCTTTAATAGCTGGGTTTCTCTTTTTTTGTTTTTGTTTTCGTTTTTTGCCAAAGGTACCGTTTCTGTTTTCTGCAGCCATTGAAAGTAAAGAATATAAATGGAATAACTTGTAAAATCTACATATTGCTAACCTGTAGAAACCACAGTTCCAAATTCTTTGAAACCATTTTATTACCTTTTTTTAGTTTGCTCAGTTCTAAATATTTATGTCTAGAGCATAAAGCAAAAAATTATCTTATAGTTATTACTTTTGACCTTTTCTTTTATAGACTGCAAGTCACTCCTTAATTTTCTCTTACTTAAACCCCTCCTGCAGTTTCAAATTCAAGTTTTCCCAGTAGAGATTAAATCTGAGCCTGCATGTCTATTAAGAATTTCAGCTTCCCATACACATTTACAAGGGTGATTAAGATTCACATTTCTCCACATGTCTGCTAAAACAAAAATTATAAGCTAATCTATCCAAGAACCAAAGTCTGTGCAAACAGGTTTCTATAAGCTTGGCAACATGAAAATGGAACATTTCAGTCAAACATTTCCTATATAGCAATCGCATTTACAATCTGTTTTTTGCATTAGTTCCCTATGTACATCCCAAAATTATTATTTGAAGTAATTTATTTACAGGAAATGTTAATGAGATGTATTTTCTTATAGAGATATTTCTTACAGAAAGCTTTGTAGCAGAATATATTTGCAGCTATTGACTTTGTAATTTAGGTAAAATGTATAATAAGATAAAATATATTAAATTTTTCTCCTTCAAAAATGGAATTCAAATTTCCTTGTGTTTTGCATTTGAGAAAAACTTTCACAGAATCATAGATTCTCAGAGTTCAAATGGACAATCTGATTTGACAGTTGGGGTAGGAATCCTTTGGATGACATCACCATGAGATGACCCAAGACAGTTTATTATCACTAAAGGCAGTTTATTCATGGCAGGGCAGATATAATTGTTAGAAAGTTACTATTTCATTAAACTAAAATATTCCGGGCTGTGCTTTCTACCCATTTATTCCTACTTTGTGTTCTGAAACATCTTGGAACAAGGACTCTCCACAAACATCTTCAAAACACTTGAAGCCACCTAGCTTATTTCCTATAATCTTCTAGCCTGATTAAAATCTCCCCAGAGATGCCAAGATGCTTAGCATATTGGTTCATTCCCCAATGGCACAATGAAGCCATAGAATATCTTTATTTCTACATGGATACAGACTGAGTTACCTGGCCCTAAGTAAACTCACAGCTACTACCTGGCAAAGTCTTTCCTCTGCTTCCTAAATACAGAGATGTCAGGAGTCTTTGATAAACAAAACTCACCAATTTTGAGACTGGGAGTGGTTGTAGAAGCCCATGTTGTATTAGAGATGTTAATGGGCTGGAAATGTGGGAAATAAACGTTCTGTGACAGTGGGATGGATTAAGTGTAGCTATGGCAGCATAATGAAGCTCAAACAGTCCCATAGCTGGAGGTCAGAGTTGAAGATACCTCAAATATTGCTGAAATAACTTCCACATTATTCTAATTAGGCACTTAAATAGTTATTCTTAAATAGTTATTCATTTCCTCAAATTGAGAACATTTGTATTTCCTAGCTACAGTGTATTTTTAGCCTATAACAGTCATATGGGTAATATTTTTCTTTTCCACTGAGCTCAGGGAGATGCTCTGAAAACTTACAAATTGTCTTGACTTCCTTTTAGCTAAGAAACACAATGCCTTATCACAGCCCTAGGATTTGAGGGGGAAACAATCAATTACACTTTTCTCCACCCCCCAAATTCAGGCCATTTGAGGAAAAAAAGGTTAAGAAAGAAAGGCAGATGATGGATTTCCCTGGGCAGATAAAATTATCAGAGAGGATAGTGTGTAGCATAAGCCAGAGGATACTAGAAAGGGCCAGGTTCCAGAGCAAGATATTAGAAAGTTGCCCATTCTCAGACAACACCAGACATCATTTCTATCTGTGGGAGCTGCCCTGGTAAAATTTATTGCACGGATGGGCAGAACAGAGTGACACACTTTCTTCTGGCAATTTATGCCAAAGAAGGGTGGGGAAAGAAGAGAACTATGCATTTCTCCTTTAAGAATCTCATTTGAAATGCTATAAAACTGGATAATTCACAGCACATGAAAGGAGTGAGTGAGGGGTAGAGACAAAGATTATTTTACACTCCACATTCAACTAATGTTAAGAACTAGAAAAGGAAAAAACTCTCCCCCACATCATTCCCCAGATCTTTATATTTTCAACACATTGTACATAGCCATTTGTCCATGGTGAACATACCATCATAGATCAGCTACCTACTAAAGCAACACCTGATGAGGTCGTTCCCCCACTGCTGGTTACTTCTTCATGGATACTCCTAGGACCAGGAGTGGAAAGTTTAGATTTTTATCCCCAGGAGATGGCAAGATGGATGAAGAAAATTCATTAATTCAATTGACTCCAAGACCACACTATACTCAGGGTTGGAAAATAACTCTTCTTTCTTTTTAGCATCTCAAATTATGCCCATCATATTATCCAATCTATCAGTGGTTCTGCAGTGAGATTAAATGGCATATTGGGTATCTGATAATAAAATGTGTAAAAAGTACTGCAATCATAAAATTCCAACAACTCAAAGACTTTTGAATATAAATCCTATACCATTAAGAAATACCTAGGAGAAATTAATGCATGAAATTTAAATCCTCTTGAATGCTAATGTCAAAATAAGTTGAAGTCCAGAGAATTTAAAGTCTATATTTATTATCTTTCTCTTTAGAATAAGGAGCCCAAAGAAACTGAAATTCAAAATCTTCAAGTTAATGGCTAAAGTTTTTCTTCCTCAACCCGATGTATTCTGCTCTGTCTTAGCCAGAGGGTTTATTAATGACAGTGCAGAGTAGGACTCTTTCAGCAGCTTTGGCCAGGACAGTATCTCACTGTAATGAGAGACCTGAATTTTTAAAAATATTTTATTTACTTATTTATGTGAGAGAGAGGGAGAGAGGAGAGTGCTAGCATGAGTTGGGGGACAGGCGAGAGAAGAAACAGACTTCTCACTGAGCATTGAACCCACCTCAGACTAGATTCCAGTCCCCTGAGATCATGACCTGAATCAGGAGTCAACTGACTAAGCTATCTCCACTGAGAGAATTAATTTTTAATATTATCCAACCAATTTTTGGATACATATAATTAAGTCAAAGATGTCACCACATTGAGAAAATAAGGTAATCTCCAGCTCTTAGAACAGATATACCAGGCAATACACTGTTAACAAATCTATGACATGGTGTTGTCAAAAACCATAGCAAAGGTGTTGGAATCTGAGTGAAAGAAGATAGACAGAAAAAAAGAAAAACAAGAAGAACAAAAAACCTCTTTGTTTTTGCTTTGTTAAAAATGTCAACTAATCAAAAAAAAAATTGTCAACTAATCCAAATCAGTTCTGGAACCCAGGACCTATGTACTTAAACTTACTTGGGAAAAACATTCACCAAGATATTAGATATAGCACTATATTTTACCATAAGGGAGACTGGCAGGAGACTCCATCTGTGTATTTCATCTACTTTTAGAGAGTGAGTGGTATTTGAGGCATTACTGCCTTCATGTAAAACTGGTCAAATTAGAAACTCACCATTAAGTATTAGCTTCATTGAGGCTTCTTTGTTTACCCACCTAACGTATTCAAAGTATCACCAGTGCTTGAGAATATGTTTGGTCTGGTAGTATGGCCTCCATAATATCTTGTAAGCTGCTCTTTTTTAGGGGTGTGCCTTAGTGGCAGCTCCCACTACTCACGCATTACTTATTTCCTCATCCCTGCATTTATTCAAGCTATAGAAGCAAATCAACACATTCTTGAAATAAAATTGCTATCAATGCTCCTGAAAATTATTTTAACAAATGGTGCCCCGAGGCACAGAAGACACTCCCAACTTACATTCCTTCAATCAACACATACTCACCGAGAATGCCTTCTATGTGCCAGGCAGCTTTGTAGGCATGGTGGATAGAAGGAGAAAACCAAAACAAAAAAGTTCATCTTTTCATTGTTTTTACGTTTCAGTTATTTTTTAGGGCAATGCCTGGAGACAGAAAATAAATAAAAATTATATAAATTCTATAGGAGACAGAAGATGAGCCCTATGAAGAAAATTGAAGCAGCGTAAAGAAACAGATTCTGTGGTTAGGGGAGATCTCTTAGAGAAGGCAAATTTGAGTAGGAAATTGAGTAAAGTGGTGGGGGTTGGGAATGGGAATATCTGGAAATTCAGCAGTATAGGAAGAAGGACATGAGCAAACATCTGATGCTGAGAAGAAGTTGAGTGGAAGACTTGGATGGGGTGGGTAAATGGAGAGAGAGAGAAGATGAGGTCAGAGGAAGAGTTGGGTCAGATTGTGTAGAACCTTATTGATCTTTATAACTACTTTTATTTTGAAAGAGAGATGGAGCTAGTGAGAGATTTTGAGCAGAGGAATAGCATGGGCTAACAGGTTTTCAAAGGTTCACAGAGACCACTGTGTAGAGGAAAGAAGACAGCATCCAGGCAAGAACCACTGGTGGCTTAGATTTTTGAGGTAAGTTGGAGGTCATGAGAGACAGTTGGTTTTAGGGTATGTTGGAGGTAGAGCTAGCTGGATTTGCCATTGGACTGGATGCAGGTTTTGCGAACAACAGAGCCTCTCTAGCTTAGCCCGAGGATGAAGATCATTGAGAAATTGTTGATAAGAAAAGAAAAAAAAAAAAAACGGTGAAAGAGCTCTTTCCTATACAGCACCTTTGTATTTAGTATCTAAAAGAAGAATTGTCCTCATAGAATGTTGACAACTCTTTAGAAAATTGCCCTTTGCAAATTTCTCACCAGCCATCTTGAGAGCTTGAGAAATAAATTATATAAAGGAGAAACTGAATTAACAAAAAGAAAGAAGTTGTTGAATGCACTAAGAAAAGCAGTTGCAGACAAACAGAAGAATGAGAGGGTGGTAGGAAGACATAGTAAAGGGAATAAATAGGGGCCAGAGCACGGAAAATGGGCAAAGAGTTTTAAAACAGAATGTAGGAGACAGATGCATCAAGTGGAATGCTAGAAATCCTAAAAGGTGCTAATAAGAAACTTCAATTTGATACAGATGTCAAACAGTGTCAAGGAAAACTTACGGGAAGAGAATGGCTGACTCACAGCAGTAGGTTTTAGAAAATTATTTAAGCAAAGGGTGTAGCCCAGGCAACACTCCCATTGACTTTGAGCCAATGAGTTGCAGTAGAGGGCAATTTGTCAAAGGAAGGCATAGTTCTCTTTGAGTTTTAAGTAATTATATAGTGTAGAACCTGGGAATTCAAAAGAAAAAACAATATGTAAGTAACTGAAGTACTTTCATGAGAAATACACTTGCCATCATACCTCTCACACATACGTCATGAATACCACAATGCAGAACCTTTTAAAATTTCCTGGGGGTCAACATTTCTTATAGATGCCATGGACTTGTTTTATTTGCTCCACAACTTCCCACTTCACTGCACCTGCTACACCAGTCATCATTCTGTGTTTAATGGCCAGTCAGCCTCCAGGGGCTAGTAACAGATGGAGAACATCAGATCAGCTAATGCATATAAAATACTCAAAGTCCCACTTAAGCTTTTCAGGCAGACCATGAAATTGAGATAATTTTATCCTCCATTTCTTTTCCTACCTTATCACTCCTTACCACTGAGCTCTTGTCTGTTGCAATGAACATTTATTCTTTCTCCGACTGTATGCCATA